TGTGACTGTCGCACGTTCAGTTGTAACACCCTTCCGGTGCTTAGCTGCCATGACACACGAGGGCTGGGATACTGCCAGGTTCCCCAAGCCTAGACAGGGGAAGTCGAGAGGCCGAGGTCGGGTTCGAACCACGGACCTTCCGGTCAGTAAATTCGCGCTCCGACCACTTGGGGCATCTCGCCCCCCCCCTTATCGCACGTGGGAGCCTGTTTGCTCCTTTGGTTTGTACTTTTGTAGTCCAAGCGGACCATTTGTTTTGGACGAGTATCATCTGTCGAGGTTTGTGTAATTTGTGAATTTGTCTTACATTAATAGCACCGTATAGATACCCGGCTCCGACTTTGTTTTGCCTTCCCGTCCACGCGTCGCTCGAAAGATACCGTTCGCCCGTTACACAAGCCTTACAACATAACTGAAGATACATTGCTATGTTCATAATAGCTGAGCCATTCGGGGAATGTGTTTAAATAAGAAAAATTCGAACCATCACATAGCAAGCAAGTGGTCAGCGACCTCACCTCGTATTGCGGTGTGCCTCAGAAAGGCTTTTGAATGGTCGTACTACACAAGCAGACTAAGCCACACTAAGATTGAAAAACGAATGTCAGCAGAAAACAGTTCTCAGTTTTATACTTCAAAAGAAAGCGGCACCTTCAGGCACTAAGTTTTCTCATGCTGTAATTTGTATCTCCGAAGACTTCCGTCAAAGTTTCTCTGTCACGATACCTCATCGGAGCAAGTGACCTGAGTGAGTCAAGTGCACAATGGATGACGCGACGTGTAGGAGACATCCCGCTGTCTGATCACGCAGACTGTGGTGGTCCAGGGTGCTCACACGTGACATCTATGAGACTCAACCATTCGGTGCGCTACGGTTTTTTCACCACTAGTCTGAACATGTACTGCGTCCCGTGCCACGTACAGTTGCCAACTCTTGGCATTTTGTTGGCACACCAAACCATCGCCGTTTGGACAACTTCTAACTTGTCGCGACAGGTTAATATGGCATGCATTCTGTCTGTGGTCAATATTGGTCCGAAACGCTCTCCGTCCTCATATCCACTCGACAGACATGAAAATCTGTGTGTGTAAAGATGACTTGACAGTTATCGGTCAACCTTCACTTAACTAAGCTTGATCTCAGCTTGACCCTTCTCTTCCACGGAAGCAGATCATTAGTTGAGCCTGAAGGAACGAGTTCTCTTCTCCGCCCTAAGTTGCCATAGGGACGCTAACAAGTGTCACCTTTGTCTAACGTGGAGATTTCGTCCTGTAAGTGAAGCCAATCTATGCTGAAAATCCGGGAAGCATTGTGAGACTTCCATCTGGGAAGATTTCGTCCTGTGAGCCAGTCAACACGTGTGACCGCGTGATGTGGATCCCGTGATTGAAGGATGAGCGGCGCTATATCCTGTCTAAGTGCGAGTTAATCACACTGCTGATCAGCCACTCGTGGCCGAACGGTTAAGTGTTCAAACTACTAGCCGGGAGGTCGCGGATTCGAGACTCTCCGGAGTTTCGTGAGATG